AAAAAAAAAAAAAAAAAAGAGAACACACTCATATATTTGGTGAAATGAACATGAAAATATTGTTAAGAAGCACTATTTTTGGCAAACATTCTTAATATTCTTTAAATGCTTGGTAATAATTGCTGTTGATTGCATGTAGTGACACCTATTGGCAAGGTAAAGATCAACTACAGAGTCCACAATGATACAAAAAATAGACAAAATTTTAAACCAAAAGAACTACTAGTTGCTCAATAAATTTTTATTACAAGTTTGCTTCAGGCTAAAAACTGGCATGGCACACAGAGGAAGGCACTGGAAGGAAGGATCTACATGTGGCCCTGAACACCAATGAGAACTAGATTCTAGTCCTGGCCTCACCAGTAACTAATTTAGTGGTTTGGGGCAAAGTAATCACTCTTGGTCTCAGGCTCCTCGACATAAAATTAGCCACCAAATGAATGTTAAGGTTCTCAAATGCCATCACTGCCAAAAAACATTTTATCCCCTCCTTTGCTTTCTCCTGGGTTCAAGCAATTCTCCTGCCTTAACCTCCCTAGTAGCTGGGATTACAGGCAAGTGCCACCACATCCAGCTAATTTTTTGTATTTTTAGTAGAGATGGGTTTCACCACGTTGGTCAGGCTGGCTTCGAACTCTTTACCTCAAGTGATCTGCCTGCCTTGGCCTCCCAATGTGCTGGAATTACAGGCATGAGACACCGTGCCTGGGCCCTTCTTTGCTTTTTTTGAGTCAAAGTCTTGCTCTGTTGCCTGGGCTGGAGTGCAAGGATGTAATCTCAGCTCACTGTAACCTCTGCCAGATTCAAGTGATTCTCCTGCCTCAGCCTCCCAACGAGCCAGGATTACAGGCGTGTGCCACCACACCTGGCTAATTTTTGTATTTTTAATAAAGATGGGGTTTCACTATGTTGGCCAGGCTGGTCTGGAACTCTTGACTTCAAGTGATCTGCCTGCCTTGGCCTCTCAAGTGCTAGGATTACAGGTGTGAGCTGCCACACCCAGGCTATTCACTTCTTGAAAGTAATTTACAACCCGATCTGTCTCCTTTAATGTAGATCATTTTATGATAACTTTTAACTATCTCTTACACATGTGATTCTTTAATTTAAAATTATATTTAACTTTGAAATATTTGAAAAGTTTTACTGAGTATAATTTGCACACTATAAAATTCACCCACTGTAAATGTACAATTCAATGACTTTTAGTAAATTTATGAAGTTGTACAACCATTACAACTATTTGGTTTCAGAGCCTTTCCACCACCCCCCCAAAAATTCCATCAAGCCCAATCCCAACCCAGGTCTGCTTTCTCTATATATAAATTTGTTTTTTTTATGGACAGTTTATGAAAAAGGAACCATACAGTAAATCATCTGTTGCAGCAGGCTTCCTTTATTTAGAACGATGAGAATGTAGCAGCATTGCACTCCTTTTCATTGCTGAATAGTATTCCACTGTATAGATATACACTTTGTAAATTCTGTCACCAGTTGATGGACATTTGGCTTGTTTTCAGTTTTTGGCTATTATGAATAATGCTGCTGCAAACTTTCATGGAGTAATGTTTTGTGGACATATGTTTTCATTTCTTTGGGGTATATACCTAGAAGTGGAATTGCTGGGTTGTATAGTAAGCCTATATTTAGCCTTTTAAAAAAACTGCTGGCTGGGCATGGTGGCTCATGCCTGTAATCCCAACACTTTGGGAAGTTGAGGCGGGCAGAGCACCTGAGCTCAGGAGTTCAAGCAGCCTGGCCAGCATGGTGAAACCCCATCTCTACTAAAAATACAAAAATTATACAACAAAACCACAGTTCATATAAAAAAGGAAAAGAAAAAAATACAAAAATTAGCCAGGTGAGATGGTGGGCACCTGTGATCCCAGCTACTCAGGAGGCTGAGGCAGGAGAATTGCTTAAACCTGGGAGGCAGAGGATGCAGTGAGCTGAGACCATGTGACTGCACTCCAGCTTGGAGGAAAGAGCGAGACTCCGTCCCCACCCCCACCCCCCCCCCCAAAAAAAAAGAAAAGAACTGTCAAATTGCTTTCTAAAATGGCTATACCATTTTACATTCCCACTAGCAGTGTATGAGGGTTCCAGTTGTACTGTCCACCATTTTGCTTTAAAATCATTCTAGTGAGTATGTAGTGATTTTAGTTTGCATTTTCCTAGTAACTAATGATATTGACCATCTTTTTATTGGCCATTCAGATGTCTTTGGTGAAATACCATTTCAAGTTTTTGCCCATTTTCAAAAATTGAGTTAGTTGTTTTCTTATTACTGAGCTGTAAGAAAAAAATGCTTTTCTTATTTCAAATAAGCATATTTTATTACATAAAATTCAAGTGAACTAAATAAAATTGAAAGCTTATGTTTTTTCTCAAACCTCCCTTCTCATAGTACTTTGGTACATTCTTCTGCACTTTTTTCAATTAAAAAAATACTAGGAATCCTGCAAAGTTCAGCTTTGACCTTCTAATTTGGTTAAAAACTGCTGTTTGGCTTTGACCGCCAGAAGACCAAATGAAAGATACATGATTCATGGAACCACTGAAGCAGCGCGAGATCAATAATCTGGTGACAGCACGGGTTAAGAATGAAAACAAAACTGTATTTATTAATGGCAATAATTCAAACAAGGCTGACATTTGGTTTACTGTTACTACTTAGGTTAGCATTTTTGAAGTAACTTGGAAGTGAAAAATCTCTCTGTGACTATGTGGTTGCTATATTGAAATTCTATTAATTAGTTGAAGTAGAATGTTTTTACTAGCACAGTAAAATATTAAAATAATTAAAGACAGGGAAGAAAGCTATTAGTTTTTATATTAAAATTTATTAAAAAGTTAAATAGGAAAATATGTTGACAGTTAATGACTATTAAGATAATTAACTTTATTATTTATTTATTTGCTTATTTATTTACTGAGACAGAGTCTCACTCTGTCACCCAGGCTGGAATGCAGTGGCGCAATCTCTGCTCACTCCAACTTCCACCTCCCGGGCTCAAGCGATTCTTGTGCCTCAGCCTATCGAATAGCTGGACTGCAGGTGTGTGCCAACACGCATGGCTAATTTTTGTACTTTTTTGTAGACATGGGGTTTCACCATGTTGGCCAGGCTGGTCTTGAACTCCTGACCTCGAGAGATCTGCCTGCCTCAGCCTCTCAAAGTGTTGGGATTACAGGCATGAGCCAGATGCCTAGCCAAAAATTAACTTATAAACAACATTATACTCTTTGTGAGTCAACGAATGTTCATAAAAACGTAAATACTACAAGGCAGAATAATAGAGATTAAGTTATGCTGTACGTTTGTTGGGAATGTTTGGCACACTAGCACTCATATTAAACAAAGTAAACCTTAAAAGCTTTAGTTTTAGCTTTTAGATTCCATCTGAACCATTAATTTTTCTCAAAAAATTTTCCTGTGTATTCTTCCTAAGTTGGGAGAAATGAAGTAGAAGTAAAATGTCAACGCTACAGCATCAAAATTCTATAGGAAATATGACAAAGCCATATTATATACAATTGCTTCTATGATATATCTACCTTTGGTCCAGGGAAAATAAAGAGTAGGAAGAGAAAAAGTATTAGAGAAAAGTGAAGTACTCCAAAATACATTTCTGTCCTAGTAACCTCAGTTGAAAGAGAAAATGTAATACTGTCAAGATGCAAAGGTGGGCAGAGAGAAATCCAGCAGTAAACAGTGTTAATAAAGTACTGGTCCTATTCAATCATGCTAAGCTTCAAAAAACTGACTTCTCAAATTTAAACAAATAATAATTTTAGAGAAAAGGTTAATTACACTAGAATTTTATTTTGTAATAGCAATATTGAAGAATAATTTTTTTCACCCCCCGAGATGGAGTCTTGCTCTGTCACCCAGGCTGGAGCGTAGTGGTGCAATCTCGGCTCACTGCAACCTCCGCCTCCCTGGTTCAAGCAATTCTCCTGCCTCAGCCTCCAGAGTGGCTGAGACTACAGGCACATACCACCATGCCCAGCTAATTTTTATATTTTTAGTAG